CTGAAATAGGCCACTTGAAAAGAACAGTGAATGCTTTCTAATGTTTTTCCTTCCAAAATTATAAATATCCCTGATTTTCCTCTCTCTTTCTGTACTCACAATTTGCTTTTCTGTTACCTGCAGATTTAATTGCCTCAGAGCTATTACTGATCCCTTTTACTACTCCTCATTTTTTCCAATATTTTAATCTCATGATAGAGGAATATAAAACACATTTGATTCAGGAAAGCCCCTGAATTTGGAAGGAATTATCATGCTGCAAAAGTCTTTTACCAGCTAGTCTATCTTCCTTCTTCCCCTCCCATTTTCAGATGGTGTGGAGCTTTATAATTCTGGCTCTTGTGGAACACAAGATTTCACATTTTCACACTATCAGCCTTTCCTCTTGGCCCAAGCCCAGTAGACTGAATAGAGCAAGTGCCAGACATCAGCCCAGTGTAACTTCCAGTTCCCAAGGGCCCCTTTTCTCAGCTCAGCTGGTTTTAATATTTTATTTTCCCTACTTCAGAAAAATGATCTTTCAAGGAACTTATGTTTTAATGGCCTGTGATGCACAGAAGCAATGGAGAGTGATGCTGCAAGCTCCAACGGGGCTAAGACTGGCAGGTGTCCAGCTATTGATGGACATGTGCCATTTTAGCGAAGCAGAGAGAGAGAGGTTGCCCTCTGAAGGATCAGAATTTGTTAGGTGTTTCCAATGTGCAATATCCTTCTGGGGTTTCCCTTCCAACTTAAATGGACCAGGAAGGGGATCCAAGTACTGTTTATACAAGTGCCATTAAAGTCCCTGAGAAGGCTGGTGTGTTGTAATACTTTACACTAACCATTACAATCTCAAGGGGCAAAGGAAACGCTCTCCGATGCAGGTGGAGATTGTGCCAAGAGCTTTGTTTCATCAAGCAGAGTGGGTAAAATAGCTGAGAGCGGGTGGCTTCTTCATAAACCTCTTTGGAAAGTGAGGCCTGATTATTCCTGTATGTGCTGTGGTTTGCTTGTTATTTCCTCATAGTTTAACTTTCCATTCCTAGTCTTTGACATTTCTGTTTGAGCAGACTGTAAATGAAACTTCCCTCAGCATTTCTTCAGGTATTGCCGCCAGGACTCTTCTAGCCGGACAACTACAAGAAGTGGCGATTTAGCACCTCTGCTGGTTTGCAAACATGCCTAGGAGGTGCCACACGTACAGATCAGACATCTCCCATTCAGAGGCCCAGTCCTGCCTTATAGCAACTGCTGACATTGGGAGCTAGCACATAGACCTCTGCAAAGGAGTGTGTGAACCTCAGGAGACAACCGTGATTTACCAGGATAACAATTGCTGCCCCCTTGTTCCAGGAGGGAGAGTTTTTACTGTGTGGGCCCAGCTCACTTCCTGCTGTAGACCCAGCTCAGCCCACTAGTAGCCATTGGTCTGTCCCTTCTTCATCCATCTAGGAGACTAGAAGCTCCACCTATGCCCCAAATCTATGATCTGGGCAGCTTTCCCAAGGTTTTGCAGAGGAAGTTGCAATGTCCGGCGCACATGCCATAAGTGGCATGCAAGATGATTTTCAGTGGCATGTGCAATGAACGAGCTCCCCTCGCTCTTCCCCACCTGCAACGGGAAGCCCGTGCTGGGGATCCAGCATCCTGCCCCCGGCAAGATTGTGGCCAGTGCCTGCTTCCTGCGGGGGAGGGGGAGGAGCCTGTTCACTGCATATGCCCCGCAGACGTGAGACTGAGCTTGGCGGTGAGGGGGGAAAAGTCTAGGCACATTCGCACACCGCTGCCGGGTGCGTAACGTGGCGTTGTGTGTGTCATCTCCACTTGCAGAAGCGGAAATTACGTACATCAGCTGAGCCGCCCCTTATGACAGTTTGGCCCCATCCCTTTCTCCACTTGGGGCGGCGACTACACTGTGTGTTCCTGGTTCTGTCACAGTCCCCAGGATGGGAGCCAATCGTGGCCAGAAGAGGGAGGGAGGCAGAGATGGAGAGGTGTGTGTGCGCATGCACTGAAGGCCAAAGTCTGACAGCTCAGGCTGGCCTGGGAAACCCTGAGGCTCCATGCCAGATCTGGCTTGCAGGGAAGCATGTGCATGCTGCTCCTCCCCTCACCACAGAAAAAGCCAGAGCGGAGCCCAGGGCAGGAGACCAAGTGGGGCTCGCGGTGGAGAGAGCCCCTACCCCTTCCACTAGTGTGGGGCGGCCTAGGGCAGGAGGGTTAAATTTTGGCACGCTACTTCAGAAAGGTTGCCGACCCCTGCGCTCTACCAACACCACTCCTTTTTCAACAACATCCTTGTTACATCCAATTGATTTTCCTCCCTTTCACTTATGAATTTCTTCCAGCTCATTTTTCAGTCTGCTCTCCCATTATAGAAGCAGAAATAGTTGACACACTGTCATTCCTCTTCTGCAAAAAATGCAAGTGAGATGTAGGGCCCAAGAATCTGCAATAGCATGTGTACAAAAATCTTGCACATGACCTGTCCATTGGAAGGGGTTTAGACGCACAAGAAAGTCTAGCACAGGGCACACAGGGTGTGTCTAGACTACATGCCTCCTTCGACGGAGGCATGTAGATTAGCCAGATCGGCAGAGGGAAATGAAGCCGCGATTAAAATAATCACGGCTTC